ACGGGGGGGTGTCACCATTTAGGGTGTCACTATATGGGGGGGAGATTGTCCTATGGGGGGGGGATGGCCCTATGGGGGGTGTCACCCCTTGGGGTGTCACCTATTGGGGGGGTCACCACCCTATGGGGGGTGTTACCCCCTGGGGTGTCACCTATTGCGGGGGTCACCACCCTATGGGGGGGTGTCACCCCATGGGGTGTCCCCTGTGGGATGCTGATCCCATTCCAGTAAATCCCATTATAGCCCAGCCCATCCCGTTCTGGCTGATCCCATTCCAGTGATCTCATTAGAGCTGATCCCATTCCAGTCAACCCCATTCCAGTGATCCCATTATAGTCCATCCCATTATAGCCCATTCCACCCAATCCCGGTCCAGCTGATCCCATTCCAGTGATCCCATTTCAGTGATCCCATTCCAGCTGCTCCCATTCCAATGATCCCATTATAGCCCATTCCACCCAATCCCATTCCAGGTCATCCCATTCCAGCTGATCCCATTCCAGTGATCCCATTATAGCCTACTCCACCCAATCCCAATCCAGCTGCTCCCATTCCAGTGATCCCATTAAAGCCCATCCCACTATAGCCCATCCAAGCTGATCCCATTCCAGCCAATCCCATTCCAGTGATCCCATTAGAGCCGATCCCCTTCCAGCAAATCCCATTATAGCCCATTCCACCCAATCCTGGTCCAGCCGATCCCATTCCAGTGATCCCATTCCAGCTGATCCCATTCCAGTGATCCCATTATAGCCCATCCCACCCAATCCCATTCCAGCTGATCCCATTCCAGCTGATCCCATTCCAGTGATCCCATTAAAGCCCATCCCATTCCAGCTGATCCCATTCCATCCAATCCCATTCCAGCGATCCCATTCCAGTGAGCCCATTCCAGTGAGCCCATCCCACCCAATCCCCATCCAGCTGATCCCATTCCAGCTGATCCCGTTCCAGTGATCCCATTATAGCCCATCCCGTTATAGCCCGTCCCATTTGATCCCGTTCCCGTGGGCTCAGGGGCCGGTGCCGGGGGAGGGGGGGACGGGGGGGGAGCGGAGGGGCTGGTGTCCGTGTCCGTCCGTCCGTCCCGGGGATGGTGTCCGTCCCCGAGCTCTCCCCCGAGGCCTCCCGGTTGCTGCTCTCGGCCGCACTCTCCCTGGCCGCCCTCCTCCTCTTCCGTGAGCCCATTCCAGTGAGCCCATCCCACCCAATCCCCATCCAGCTGATCCCATTCCAGCTGATCCCGTTCCAGTGATCCCATTATAGCCCATCCCGTTATAGCCCGTCCCATTTGATCCCGTTCCCGTGGGCTCAGGGGCCGGTGCCAGGGGAGGGGGGGACGGGGGGGGAGCGGAGGGGCTGGTGTCCGTGTCCGTCCGTCCGTCCCGGGGATGGTGTCCGTCCCCGAGCTCTCCCCCGAGGCCTCCCGGTTGCTGCTCTCGGCCGCACTCTCCCTGGCCGCCCTCCTCCTCTTCCTGGGGGGGGCACCCGCCAGGTCAGCCCCGCGGGGGGAGACGGGGACCGGCGGGGCTGGGGGGGGAGCAGACTGGGACCAGTAAGGGATACAGACTGGGACCAGTGAGGAATACAGACTGGGACCAGTGAGGGACACAGACTGGAACCAGTAAGGAGGACAGACTGGAACCAGTAAGAAATACAGACTGGAATGATTGAGGAGGGCAGACTGGAACCAGTAAGGAGAGCAGACTGGCACCAGTGAGGAGAACAGTCCAGCACCAGTAAGGCATACAGACTGGGACCAGTGAGGGCAGCAGACTGGGACCATCAGGGAGTACAGACTGGGACCAGTAAGGAATACAGAATGGAAGCAGCAAGGAGGGCAGACTGGGACCAGTAAGGAGGACAGACTGGCACCAGTAAGGAATACAGACCAGTACCAGTAAGGAATACAGACTGGGACCAATAAGGAGGAAACACTAGGGACAGACTGGTACCAGTAAAGAACTGGTACTGGTTCCCCACTGGAACCAGCAGGGAACATAGAGGGGAACCAGTAAGGAGAAGAGACCTGCACCAGTGAGGAAGGCAGACTGGAACCAGTAGGGAACCTGGACTGGTACCAGTAAGGGATACAGACTGGAACCATTAAGGAGGGCAGAGTGGGACCAGTAAGGGATACAGACTGGCACCAGTAAGGAAGGCAGACTGGAACCAGTAAGGAGGGAAGACTGGCACCAGTAAGGGGTACAGACTGGCACCAGTGAGGGACACAAACTGGAACCAGTGAGGGACACAAACTGGCACCAGTAAGGAGAGCAGACTGGCACCAGCAGGGACCCCAGACTGGCACCAGTAGGATGGTGCCCCCCCCTCCCTCCAGCGGGTCCCTCCCCCCCCGGGGCCCCCATTTAGGGGCGTGCGGGCGGCGGGTGCCAGTCCTCGAGTGCGGGTGACACTGGGTGCACCTCCAGCCTCCCCCCCGC